GGAGACTGGGCCACTCGATCGACACCATTATTACTGATTACAACTATAGAAACTGCACAGAATCAACACTAACATGCCCTCTTAGAACCAAAGCCAACAAAGCACGACCAGCCCACACCTTACAATACAGGACCAACAAAAAGATTTTATTATGAAAATATGTCTTTATAAAAATGTAAAGACGCAACTGACCTACCGGATACAAAGTCCAACAGAGGAGCACAAGAATGAAAAACCATGACGTTGGCAAAGTAGCACAGTAACTATAATACTAAAACAAAGAAATGGAAATTGGCAGAGTACCTGCCCCCAAAATTCAAAGATTTTAAGGACCTTGAGTAGGCAAGTGAATAAAGACAGAAAACTCAACAACAGTAAGACGACTGTTCATGACGTAACTACCAGCATCGGAATACAAACAGGGATCATTAAAAAGAATTGTAAAGTTGGATCTAAAGAACTCAGTAAATAATCAAAACACAGCTGGGAGTCATATAGAATTGAAAAAGAAGAAAAAATTCAGAGCTTAACAATAGCTCTTAATAACACAATAAAAAAAATGAAAAGAAAAAACAAAACACTAAAAAAAGGGAGAATGTCTGAGTCGTCTGGGACATCGTTAAGTGAACAAACACATTATGGGCATTTAAAGAGAAGGGAAAAGTCGCAGAAAATCTATTTTAAAAGACATTTGCTGAAAATTTTTTGAAACTCAGATACCGAACTGCAGGTCCAGGAAGCCCAAAGGAGCCCTCAGAGAAGAGAAAATTCAAAAACAATAAGTCAAAAGCCTGAGGTCCCCTATGAGGAAGTCCTCAGTGGCCTAGTGGCAAACTTCTCAACAGAAATCATATAAATCAGGAGGTTCCTGGAATGAAATTGTGCAAGTCCTGAAAGAATAAATACGATAAACAAGAAAACAGTTCCTTGTAAAGGCATCCTTCTGAGATGGAGAGATGAAGACTGTCTATGGTAATAACAAACTGACAAAATTCCTCACCAATATGGCACTACAAGAAAAGCTTAAGGGAGTCCTATATTCCAGAGAGAGAGAGAGAGACAGAGAGAGACAGAGACAGAGAGAGACAGAGACAGACAGAGAGAGAGAGAGAGAGGCTGTGATCATATTGAAAACGCACAAAAGCAGAAACATTAACAATAAACAGACATACAGAAAAGAGATGAGGAATGCAGTGATTCTAATTTTTATTTTTTATTCAGGAATTGTTTGAATATATCTAGTTAAGGTTTTGTCTCCTGCTTATTCGAAAGCATACTTCTATGGCATTCTTTTATTTTGATGAGGTTTTGTTAGCAACTTCACATTGCTTTATTACAGTAAGTTAGAGAGTACTTCATTCTTTTCTGTTTTTCAGAGACTATCATTATTTTGTTTTCTAAATAGAAACCACCAGTGAAACGTTTCAACCTTTCAGTGCTTTTTAAAGGCCTAAATAACATTTTGCAGGCAGGTTTGCCATCCTGGTACGAGTGTCTTCCTTTATGCTGGGTTCTGTTAGGTGTCCTCCACTCTTCATAAGGAGTCCTGGGTTATGTTCTCATTTTCACAGCAGCAGGCAGGAACAGCAAGGAGGACCCTGACCCCCTCAACTTTTCCATGAAAACAAGAGCAACATTAAGGAGTTCGTAGGGAAGGAAGGTAATAATGGAATGTCTAATTATATCTGAGAGATACTTGGTATATTAAGAGAAAGGAATGCATTGGTAACAAGGACCCCTCAAGTCATAGGCTCTTATTTTTTAAAAAATGATAAATCCAAACATTCTATCCTGTGCAGTATCCATTGGCTCCTTCTTTAACACTGCAGTACAAGTCTCTTCAGCAAGTATTTACTAAAAAACTACCCTCTGACAAACATGGCTTAAGGTGTAAGGCTCCATGAAACGAGGTGGAAATACCTAGAGCTCAGGATTCGTACCTTCGGGGCATTCCACTTACATAAATTGCTGTAATCATGCATAATTATTAGAGCAGCTGACAATTTTTAATTGCTAAAAACCAGATCGCTTAAGTTATTCTGTGTTTCCGACAATTCCCCATGGTGACCAGGACAGAGAATCCGAGGTCTTTAATGATGTCCACCAATGTAGGTCCGAGACTAAAGTATCTTATAAACAGCTGGAAACTTTTTGGGCATTGATTTCAGTCTTCTGCTCCATAAGTTCTGCCTGTTTAAATTCTGCCTGTGGAGCCTCCATTCTGCACATCTAGATTCCCTAAAGTGACCCAGACCTTTCTCTTGAGCTCCACATTTGGCTACTCTTAATGAGTCTTAAAAAGAAAGACACTAAAGGGCTGGGGCCATGGGGTACAGGGCTAGGCTTCTGCCTGTGGCACTGGCATCATTAGATGCCAATCTACCAGGTGCCGGTCCATCTTCTAGTTGCTCCACTTACAATTAAGCTGTCTTTTTATGACCTGGGGAAGCAGCAGAGGAGGGTTCAAGTCTTCGAGTTCCTGCACCTATGTGAGAAATCTAGAAGAAGCTCCTGGCTTCAGCTCAGCTCAAGAACCAGCAGGTTAAAGATCTCTCTCTCCTCTATTTCCAAGCTCTGCCTTTGAAATAAAAATGTAACAACATTAACCAAAAAAAAAAACCAAAATAAACAAAAACAAAACTCAAGCGCATTTGGAGATACTGATCCAAAGCCTTCATCTTAAGAAGGACGAGTCCGCAGTGCGCAGTCAGCACACACCTTGGACAAAGGAGATGATTTCCCTTTGTTTCCCCAGGCCTGGCTTTTATCACTCCCTACCAGTTTGCACCATCAGCAACATCCTCACTATCTTTAAACACAGGTCTGCTCTTCAACCATTGTTGCAGAGAACGGGAGTGCTCTGATTTTATCCTTTTCTCTGTGTAGACCTTGTGTAACCACACTGAGAAGAGCAGGGAGCTGAGCTCTGCTTTTGGAGCCGAAGAGCTGAGGAATCATTTTTCCGTCCAATATCCATGACTGCTGACTTTCTAGTACCTACACCATCGGGGCACATCCTCCAAGGACAAGGGACTCAGAAGAGAGGATGGTCCTTCCTCTGCAGGTTCCTCCTCTGACACTGGCCAAAGTGTCCAAAGGAAAACAGGGAAGACAGGCTGTGGTTCAGAAGTGAAATGCATAGGACAGCCTTTGCATAACAAATTAGAAGCCCCAACTCTCAACAGTGACATGGTTGAGAAACCTAGAGATAGAGCATAATTTAACGATTTACTTATTTTTATTGCAAAATCAGATATACAGAGAGGAGGAGAGACAGACAGGAAGATCTTCCGTCCGATGATTCACTTCCCACGCTGGAGCTTTACTGATCCGAAGATAGGAGCCTTTGCCAGATCTCCCACGGGATGCAGGGTCCCTAGGGTTTGGATCATCCTCAACTGCCTACCCAGGCAACAAGCAGGGAGCAGGGTGGGAAGCAGGGCTGCCAGGATTAGAACTAGTGGCCATATGGGATCCTGGCACATTCAAGGTGAGGACTTTAGCTGCTAGGCTACCATGCTGGGCCCAGAGCATAATTTAAATATCGGTCCATAAAAAGCCCTAAATATAGTGAACCATCCATGATAGCAGTATATTTACTTCTGATTGACAAGGGAAATGAGATGCCTTGTATCTCATCATCCTTTGTAACATTGTGCTGTTCTCTGTTCCTCACTTGGAAGTCATGTAGCCTTTTTTCTACTTTCTAGTCCAGTTTGCTTGGACTGCCATAAAAAAAAAATATCAGACTGGCACATATAACAGAAATTCTTACAATTCCTGAGGTTAGAAGTCTTCAAAAGAATTATTGAAATGTCTGTTTGCTCCTGAGGACTGTGTTCCTGATTTTCTGACCGCTACGTTCTCCGATTCTTCCTCCACAGGATAACTCTCCCTCCTGGTTTAGGGTCCACGACGGTTGATCTTATTTAATTTTGATTATCCAATTTAAATCCTATTTCTAAATACAACCAAAATGGGGATTGTAGCTTCAATAAACAAATTTCATTAGGACAAAGTTATATTTAGAAAGGAGCAAGAGGAAAACTTTGATAAAATCTTTTACTTCTAGAACTTCCTATGTAGACATTTCACAAATCGTTGTCTTTCCTAATCAGTGTCCTGAAACTTAGTTTTATGCCTAAACTAATGATAAAAATGTCTGAGCAAGTTTGTTATTCTCTAATCTCTCTAAAACTCAATACATTATTAACGAGGGAAAGGCAAAGCTTTGAGAGAAAAAGGGATGATTCTAAACTAGGGCAATGGGGCATTCTAATTTCTGATTAGCATTTTCCCCATATATTTCCCATATGCTGTCCTGGATCACTTAGAACTTTCGGGAAACCTGAGATGTCAACATCCAGCCCTACACAGGCTCCATGCATTTAGACACCAAGGCTGCCAGGTCCTGCCTCATTCAAAACTGCATGATGAAAGTACAGCTGCACATACAGGCCCCCCAAATCCTCAGACTTTCCAAACTGATAGTTGAGTTCAGCAAATACACTCCACCCTTTGAGATGATGTGTCTCTTCTTTTGTCTCATGAATAGTGAGACAGGCTCTGTGTTAGGAATCAGCAAGAGAAAATGGTCAGGCTGATATCCTTGAAATTAACATCCTTTTTTTTGTCACAAAACTGCCCTTAATGACTGGCATGTAGATGTGGTTTTTAAATGCATAATTTAAAAATAATATATAATAACAAGTGATCATGTGTTAATATATTAATATAATTCAATAAAAGATCATGTGTTAATATATCAATAACTGTTATATATATTTTAAGAGCAACTATAACATAATAGCAAGATACTTTCAACATATCTTAACTCAGTGTGTTAGCATTGAATAGTTGTAATTCAAAGGCTAAATTTCCAGGTTTCTATAAAGACTATTTATGTGAGATAAGCATTAGTGGAAGTTATGAAACAATTACTGAGTTGAAAGAAGGTGACTTCTCACGACTCTCTGATGAGCACCAAAAAAGCAACTCACCATTCTTCTTGTAGAACATAATTTCTCCCTTGAATTCTGTTTTTTCCTCCAGTGACTTTTCTATTTGAAGCATCAGTTGTTCATTAGTTTCAATGCCAAATAAGAACTTGCAGCTGCAACTCTTTTGCATGACTTCAGTCCGGGCAAATCCAGCCAGCTCGCAGAAGCCATCAGAGCAGTACACAATGGGAAAACCTTTAGCCACCTGAGCATTGGCAAGGATGAAGTTGCTGTCTGTGGAAAGAAACCCAGAGAAGATACTCAGCAATCTAAATTCTTACTTCTCTCTTTAGAATCAAGCCACAAGCATATATGTTTAGTAACAGTGGCTAACAATGGTTCCGAATGATATACAGGCAAAAGCGTATATCCCAAACACAAATGGCATGGGCATGTAAAGGTATGGATTAATCTGATTTTGATTTGCATTTTGAAACACACTGTGGAATAATCAGTATTTATTGGTCTGTTTTGAAGTCATTAACATCTCCCTGGCAGTGAAAAGGTGAAACTATTGACCAACACTGAGTTCTAACTCAAATCTGCTCTAAAGTACATAGATGAAATTGAATACGTTACTCTTTTCTCACATTTTATTTCCACAGAAGCAGATCCTATGCCTGGATTTTGAGTATAGGTAGTTTTTTTTGGGGGGGGGGTTAGTAATTCAAGAAGAAAACATAGGGAATTGGGATAGTTAAAGGAGGAAAAGCAATAAAGAGTTAAAATCGTTTTCTGCAATGGCAGTGGGACCTAATCGCTAGTGACCATAAAGGTGACTGTGAGAATATAACTTGATATGGTCACAAGAGAGAACACACGAATATTTACCCACTAGCATTCATACTTCATTGGTACAAAGTCACTCAGAGTGGCAATTGCTCTGGCATTTCTGACCCATCCAACTTGGGCAAAGTATACCCAGGAGATCACTAGCGAGACTGCAGAAGACATCAGCACACAGAGTCAGCACATTACTGCAAGCGATGTAAGGTAACATTGGCATGTGTGCTCCAAGAAAAATGTTCCTTTACAGATGTGATAGCTGAATTACTGAGACAGCATGCATACTCTGCTTAGCAAAGTATAAGGAACAGTGACGTATTCAAACTTATTTGTATTCCATCCTCTGCATGAGTTCCCCCATTGCTATCCATCAGCCTCACATAGGCCAAATCAACGGAATTGTCCAATTTTCCACAAAAACCTCTGATACTACTGACATTATGAGCTACGTACACTTTTCCCTCTTTGTAACGTTAGCTACTTTGGACATTTCATTGAAATAATGAAAAGACAATACATCTGCCAAATATGCAATGTATGTTGTCTACTTAAATATAAGCGAGTTAAATGATAAATGCAGCTGGCCTTTCGAGAGAAGCAACTGTGGGCAGAGAGGAACACCCATTTTTACCTAATAAAGTTTAGTATCATATGTCTTATATATTGCCTACATCAGACAACCTTTCTTGCATGCTGCGAGAAAGGAGGAATTCCAGACAAACTGCACGGTCAGCAGGAGCAGCACTGAGTATCTATCATATGGGTTTTTCTGTCTCCGTTCAAACTTGTGTAGTTTGTTTCCAGTTGATGATGAACTGCCCAAATGAAGTCCATTTTACTCAACTTTGTTCCAGTTTTTAAGCCTGAAGTAGCAGTCCTAGTGCAAACATTTGCTTCCGGCTTTGTGAAGCTAGCTCTTCTACCACCCCAAGCTGAAGATGTACACTGAGCAATCTCCAAGTGTGCATTCCTTTGAAGCCATGAGAGTGAACTAGATAATTCCAGATCAATTGCTAGTTCTTTCACAAAGTTACGTATTGGCTGTGTTCTATATGTTGGATTTTGTCCTGGGTCCAGATTTTCTGTACCTAGACATCACTCTCGTATCTAAGTACAGATGTTTTCCAAGGTATAATTCTCTTCTTCCCTCAGTGAAAAAAGCCATAACTTAAATTCACCTGATAACCCCTCCCGCTTATAGTTTTTCAACCCTTAGGGATCCTCATGCAATATACTGTTTTTATTTCTGATAATAAGGGATATATAATTTTGATATTGTGGATATATACATAATATATATGATATTCCTTTTGTGCATGTTTTAATCACCAGCTTCCTTTATAACTCTTAGCATCTGTATCAATCGGCTACGGATATAGATTTAAGTATAGTCCTTCAGAGCTACCGTAGGCTTCTGAAAAAAAGTGCTCGAAGACTTATCAAGTTGCCTAATCTGTGTATTTCATTAAGGAGTATAGCACACTTGAGGTCATTCTTTGCGTAAATACACTTGAAAAAAATAAACTTAAAAAAAAAAGGCAGTTATTTAACCTGTTTACATTTAGCACATGTCCTCAATATGTAATCACACTTCGATTCTGAAGAGAATTTTGTGGCAGCCTGTGTTTCATGCAGCTAAATGTGTGATTTACATGGATGAGTAAAAATAACAAACAGTAATCTTGAAGAAAAAAAATTAACAAATTTTGAAATTTTCAAAGAACAAAGTTAAAAGCTCATTAATTCAAATATGTTTGAAACACTGTTCATAATTTGGAACTGCAAACACGTTTTAAAAGATTCTCTTTTGCAGCTGGATGAAGCTCAACACCGAGTTCTGATTCTTGTGAGGCTCATTTTCTTGAAGATCGGTAATATGAGCTTCATCTTGAACAAGACTGGTTTCTAGTGACGCACAATGGCAAGACCATCAAAACTAAAATGAATGTAGCAGCAGGCTCACTTGATGGAAATCTGCATTTACATGTATATTATTCCGGAATTTCCATGGTCATAGTTCCTGTTCCTCTCTACCCTCCCCCACACCAAAACCAAACAGGAACTGTGAGTGAGCTTCCTGGAATGGTCTAGCTTTCCTACTGTTTGGCAAAGTGAAAGGCCTGAGAAAGCTCAAGCATTGCCCCGGTTCCCTGTTCTCAATACACAGTTGGATGATGTAAACCCTCCACTCCTCCAGCTCAGAAGAAAGGTAAGGGGTTAGTTAGGAATGACAGGGCACGTATTTTCTGAGACAATCTCTAATTCCATTTTTTTTAAAAAACATGAATATGGCCAATTGGACATAAAACTGTATGTGTATCTTTTGAAAATGTATTTATTTCGTCACTCTATTTGGCTTATGGAAAGGAAGATTAAATGGTTGCAGCAAAGAAACCAGCTGTAGTGTACAAAAGCCCAGAGTTCCAAACATTGAACTTAATTTGCCTGTGGATTCTCCTGCAGCACACACTGGATTGTGGCTCCAGTAAAATTTAATACAGAAAGTATTTCCTTTTCATTTTTAATAGACAGGAACAGTCTCTTCACATCAGGCATACATGAAAACTGGGGAGGAGGTGACAGGTTAGCTCAATTCGCTACAACTCCGTCTTGCAGCACTGGCATCCCATAGGGGTGCTGATTTGTGTCCTGGCAATTCCACTTCCCATCCAGCTCCCTGCTTATGGCCTAGGAAAGCAGTGGAAGGTGACAAGTCCTTGAGCCGCTGCACTACGTGGGAGACTTGGAAGATGTTCTTGGTTCCTGATTTCAGATTGGCCCAACTCTGGGAAGTGAACCAGAGGAAGAATGACCCTTCTCCTTCCCTTTGAAAATCTGCCCTTTCAATAAAAATGGATAAATTTCCAAAAAAAAAAAAAGAGAGAAAGAATATTAGGGAACAAAAGTGATTATTAATTCAGCCCTACTGAGGTTACTTTATTTTTTTAATACAATTGAACAACTTCTATACATGAATTTTTGAAGACAAAATATGTAAATTAGTGTGCTAGTGCACCAAAGTAGACTAACCTTTCTTTTAAATCTTAGCTCTGTGGACACTAACAGCATTAAAAAATTCTTTACAACTTGGTAGTATTTTCCAGAAGCTCCCCTGCCCACTGTACAGTCTCTGCGTCACAGTGCTTATGTTAGATTAAGCAAGGAGGGATGAGGGGATGAGCGGCTTTATAGAAAATAAGTTAATTGTAGCAGGAAACACAAGGCTAACCTAATTTGATAGCTGTAGATATTGTGTGATTGCTTTGGTGTTTTTATCCTCATGTCTTTATGACAATGTAGACAACATAAAACCAAGGTGACACCTGCTAAGGTTAGGCTTCTGGAAAGCTGAGGTAAGAAGAGGCAAGAAGACGATGATAAATAAGAAATAAACCAACAGGGCCCCGGCGCGGTGGCGCAGTGGTTAAGGTCCTCGCCTTGCATGCCCGGGATCCCATATGGGATCTCCGAGTTTGTTTCCATCTCAGACATGTGGCAAAGAAATGACTCATGTGTAAATATTGGATGCAACCTAATTAATTGTAATAAATGATATGCAAATGTCACACATAATTTTAACCATATGAACAAGAGAAGAAATAAAGAGCGGGAGAAAGGTAGGGAAGGAGGGACAAAAACCAACAGAGAAGGGCCTGGCATGAGGGCTCAATTGGCTAATCCTCCCCTTGCAAGCACTAGGATCCCATATAAGCACGGTTTGTGTCCCAGCTGCTCCATTTCCAATCATGCTCCCACTTGTGGAGGAAGCAGGATGCAGAGGAAGATGGATTGAGGTCTTGGGACTTGGCATGCATGTGGAGGATTGGAAGAAGCTCCTGGTTCCTGGCTTCAGCTTCACCTGGAGAGTGAATCATCAGATGGAAGATCATCCTTTCTGTTTCTCCTCCTCTCTGTGTATCTGACTTTCCAATAGGAATAAATATTTTTTTAAAAAAATGTTATACTAATGCCTGATAAATGAATACACTGCTAAATGAATCAGCCTTATTTTTTCCATAGATATTGTTTCCAATATTTCTTAGACTCAAAACTCAAACATTTCACAAAGATTTTTGAGTTAGGTGACAATTTTGCTTTGCATTCTAATTCTACAAATGAATTTATCATTCATTTCCCAGGCATTGCAATGAGTACTCAGGAAGCAAGAAAGAAGAGAGGAGGGATCACATGAGAAGAGAGGAGGGTGGGGAGAACCTTGTGGTGGCAAGGCTCCAGAGTTGGGTGAGTGTCATGGAGCTGTCCTGGAGGATTTCCAGTCCATGGATGATCCTACTGATTTTAGGGACCAAAGTCAGCTGGCTATTTTGTTAGGATAGACCCTAGATGAGCAAGGGCCAAAGTGCATAGACAACTCAGGGGTATCGTCACAGTCCACAAAAATTACAAGGTGGTTTTCAACTAGAGGGATCACAACGAATATTCTGTGA